AGCGGGTAACGGCGCGGCCTGGCGCCCTGCCCGTCAGCGGGGAGAGCGCTGGGGCGGGCAGGGACCGGTGAAAGGGTGGGCGAAACGGGCACGCGTGGAGGCGCGTCTGCTCGCGGGCGGAGGGCGCGGGGCGGTGCCTGTGCCGGGCCGTGCCCTGGTACCCCCGCTGCGGCGGGTGCCTGTGCGGTCAACGGTGAACACGCGTGGGGCAGTTCAGAGCGATCTGGCGTTGCGCAGCGGCGGAGCACGTCCGAGTATTAAAATCCCAAGTTACATGTAATTAGCTCAAAGAGGTGACGCTCAGTGGAAAAAAACACTTTGAGGAGTAATTAACTTTTAATTTTTTCTTCGTGAGATTAGGAAGATAGGCCTTCTTGGTCCCGTATGCCTTCAGGCAGAGGACACTACAAACATACGCAGACTAGTAAGGCATCTGACGCAAACACGGTGTTTATTTTTGTCCCGTCATTTTTAAATCCGTAGGATTTTCTCCACTTTTTTCAGAGGTTTGGCCTTTACAAAGGTGAAGATGAAAAGGAAACATGATATTTTTGTTCTCTTTGTGAACAGCATAAAAATGATACAAAGACCTGCCTGGTTTCAGGAAGTTTGAACTTGAGAATATGATAAATCTGAAACTGTTTGTGTCACAGTTACCCTTTTTCACGGCTGGTTTCTGTTGTCTGAACTTTTAGTAACTCTGCAGTGTTACTTGGTTATTTTTAGTGGTGTCATAGTACGTACAATGGAAGAATCTCATCAGGAGCTGGGCAAACCCTGATCAAGGGAGATAAAAGCCCTCTAGTGGCATGAATTCCATTGTGCTTGAGCAATATTTATGTTTCCTGTGGACGAAGAGAGCAGCAGATATGTGGGGTTTTAGAACGATTTTTCTTTGGATTGAGATCAAAACTTCAGGGCTTTAAAAAAAACAAACCCATTCAATAGAAGTGTTCCATGTAACTGTCTTTTTGGATTCAAACCTTTTAGTACAGCCCCCAAGTACTCAGAAGTGCTCACACAGACAATTCCCTTTGCTAAGTGTTTTGTCCTTCCCTGTTGTAGGAACTGTCTCTGATCTATGGTCTTGACTTACGAGCAACACCTTGGAAAAATTGTGCTTGTTCTCTAACCGTTCCTTCTGCTTGTTTCCTAGAATGGTGAGAACTTCTGCATTCTGGATGAGCAGAGATTTGCCAAGGAGCTACTCCCCAAGTACTTCAAACACAACAATATCTCCAGCTTCATACGACAGCTTAACATGTGTAAGCATCAGCTGTTCTTATGTATTCTTTCTGCCAAGTTCATTGCTACTTGGCATCGATTTGAATTTCTTTAAACAAACCAATTGACTTGGCAGGTCTTTCATCCCTGAAAACCTGAATTCTGGTCTTGAGTTTGCTTTGCAAAAGAAAAGAGTAACAGTAGAGCTTGGCTTAGTCTTTGTTTTCTGTTTTTCAGCTCTTGAGTCCTTGTGAGCAACGACCGTAAAAATACTGTTTCATGTGCTGGTACCTAAAGCTTGGGTAGAGTTCACTGGGCTCCAGTGGTAGAGTTAATGGTAATGGTAACAGCAAACTTATGCATACCTAGAGGAACAAAGGCCGTATCTACACCCATGTGTCTAGTACATGAAAAAAATTGCCTAGATCATGCTGTTGCCTGCATTGCTGTGTTGAAAGAAGATTAGTCACACTGATGGATCGAGCTGGACTAAGTTTCTCATTATGTTTTCTGTGCTCGACTCGTGAGCATCACGTAGCATCCATTATCTAATGCATGTACAACTTGTACAGGCAAAGAAGCTGGAGTGAGGTGGTAATTCAAAGACATAGTACAATGTGCAGGGCTGCAAAACACAGCAGAAATAGTTGTTTTGCAGCAGATAGCTTATGGACTGAGTGAAGGTACAAACTGCATAGAAGATGGCCACCTTATTTAGAAATTCCATTCGGAGTTGGGGGGAGGAACTCTCTGTCCTTGCCCAGTAGCTTTGCCTGGTCTCTCTAGCTGATGCCTGTTTAGGTTTTGTCAGACATGAGAGAGAAAGCATACATTTAGCCTCCTGACACAGGGTGGATGCTTCTGTTTGTGTCGAGACTCCATCACTTGAGTGTTAAAGGATAATGCAAACAAACAATTTTCAGTTGCCTTGTAGCAAGGGTAAATGCTAAAATGCAAATATCCCTATGAAGACATGCAACGCGATGGCAGCCTCCTTTTCCTGCTGGACCTATCCTAGCTTTGAGTAAAGTTTTCTAATGATAGCGCTGTTGGGGAGCAGCGAAACTGGAATACATTAACTATGTTGAAAACTTGAACAAGGAGAGATACAGATTGGTCTGTCAACTGTATTTTGCATCTACCCTGTGGTACTTGAAGCAGTGATGGAAATAGAGCTGGCAATGTCTTATGTCATGCAGGCAGTCTGGTATGGAGAAAGTACTCTGCATGCATGTGTTTGCATAGGCTGAGAACTAATTTCCTTACTTCATTCTGTAGACCCTGGTGGTACATGACAGCATTTGTTTTGATATGTAGTTGTCTGGGAATATAGGCATGAAAGGGAAGGTGCACTGTTCCGCTGCTTCCACTGGGACAAGATTTTATTCAAGATATCCTAATAAATCTCATTTCTAACTAACTTCTGTGATTATTTGGACATCACTGTCTTGCTTGTGGACCCTAGCTGGCCTCTGCCATGCGTGCTGTTCATACAGCCTGCAAGGTCATTTGATGGTATTGTCGACATGTTCTCTAGCTGTAAAGGTCGGAGCAGTCAAATCGTTGAGTACCAAAGAAAAGCTACTTTGCCTGTTTTTCATAGTTTCTGCTCCCAGTAACTGTAGTACTGTAGGTATTTCAGTAGCCTTGGGGTTTTCTTTAGCTATGTGTTGTAACAGTCAGCTTTGCACTGAAAGAAATTACTTTGTTAATACCTCTCCACAGATGGTTTCAGGAAGGTGATTGCTCTGGAGAATGGTATGATTACAGCAGAGAAAAGCTCAGTCATTGAGTTCCAGCACCCTTTCTTCAAGCAAGGGAAGGCACATTTACTGGAAAACATCAAGCGCAAGGTACAGTCTAAGCATGTATTTACTTCACTTTGTTATGAAAAGTAGCTTATCAAGAGCAGGTCTGGGGGTTTCAAACACTTTACAGCCAACAAATTCCATGGGAACCAAGGTTGTGCATCATGATGCAAGCCTTTGTAACTCCCTCCTGAATGCTAGGCTAATGCTTGGCTTGGCCTCCTCGTGCCAGCTCTTAGACAAAACACACCCTGCTGTTGTTTAGCAATGCACTGGAGTAGGACCACATTCTTCATAGCTGTCAAACTAGAGCCCTTTTTCCACAGAGTTCATATACACAATTACAGCTTACCATGGTGTTGGGTTGACGGTTGGACTCGATGATCTTAGAGGTCTCTTCCAACCTTAATGATTCTGTGGTCTTCATTTCTGCCAGCGTAGCAGAGTTGGAAAGAGTCACAAAGTGAAAGAAGTAAAAGAAAATACATTCCCATTTGGTCGTCATTGAAAATTAGCAAGGGATCAGTAATCAGTTCATTTGGGCGAGTTTGCATAAATTACATTGTTCCTCCAAAATGATGTTGCCACTAAGCTACATCTTTGTTACCACTTTCCAGTTTTCTTTTGTACATTCAGGCCTTGTCTGACCTGTTTCTGCACAGATATTTACTCTCTATTGGCACATTACAGCCCATAATATCCTGGCTGCCAGAGAAAGAGAATCATCACACATCACGTTGACATTTGAACTGCAGAATCTTTTCTTTAGAATGTCGTAATGTGGTAGCTACATTGCCCAAGTTAATAAAAGCACAGGGTAGGCTTGAGAGTCACAATTGTGTTTTGATTGATTCTTCACTGAGCTGTCTCTGCTCAGAATCACAATTGATTAAATATAGTTGTACAGTTGCTTCTCTGACTCAGGCCTGTGCTCTTCCCAGATGCTGTAATCACTAACTTGTCTTGGCTTGCACACCTTGCTTTCTGGTATTTTGGGGCAGTCAGCTGATGACATTATGTATGGCACCAGGAGTGTTGCACTGGGTGGAGTATTCTAGATGGAAAGACAAAAGCTCTAGTTAGTGCCAAGGACATTCATATGAAACTATTGAATAGGTTGGTGAAACATACTCTTCGTTGCACAGGAAATGTTAGTGATTTTTTGCAAAAGTCCATTAGTTTTTCTTGCTCTTTTACTGTCTGGAATGGAGTCATATTTCAGTACTTGCTATAAACTGGATTTCAAGCCTTTAACGGGAATGCAAGTTTGAATGCAGGACTTCCTTGATTTACTCCCTTTTAGTGTTAGCTCTGCTGGTGTGCTTCAGTCTTGACACCCTTATTATCTAATTAGAGACTCTGAAGAGAGCAATTCCTTGCACTTGGGCAGAATGTTTTAGTTTGGCCCTTTTTTAGAGGCAGGCTGACTGCATTTGAAATTTCCATCTGCTGTCTGCATCTTTGGAGAGGTGGTATGCTGAAGAGAAATCAGACAGCCATGAACTTCATTTGGGATACAACTCATGTACCTTAGCATAAGGTATTACCCGCAACAAATAGCAAAGCATCTAAAGATGTAGACGGAGAGGAGAACTGTCAGGCCATTCAGTCCATCCTTTGTAACACTGGATTACCTTAAGAAAGTAGTTAGTTATTTCTGTGGAGTGATTCCATAACAATTATGTTATGGAATGTTTCATCATAAAGTGATGGGATGTTATTTTATAACACCGTAGGTCCATTTCTGACCATCCCATTCTCCTTTGTAAAAAAAGGGATCTGTGAGCCAACCTGCATGGAAGTTGTCTAGCACTTCAGCGGGCCAGTTCCAGATGCTTTCACCTCCCTCTTGGAATTTAGTAGAATAATAAGAAAAATCATAGCATGCTGTAGGTTGGAAGGGACATCTGGTGGTTATCTGGTGCAACTCCATTTGGTTCAATTATGGTCAGTATTTGGCTAAATGATGTTTAAAATTATGCTTACAAAACCTGGACGTGTCATTCAGATGTGTGATGCACCAGACCTATCTTTTTCAAAATCCTGAATTGTATGTTAGCCATCAATGCCATCACCGCAGAGAGAGTTGCTGAAGGAATTCGAAATTTTTGAATATGGAAGTGTGTGGAGGAGTGAGCTTTTTGCTTTCTGATGACCCTTCCACCATCATTTGAAGAGGTGGCATTCATGGATTCTGCTGTGGCCAGAAGAGCAGTTTGGACTCTGACTTTCTGGAGACAAGTCTCCATAATTCTGGAATGTCACTGAGCAGAGAGGTAATAGAGGAAACACCAATGTGGGAATCTGCAATTCAGGTGGTGTGGGACAAATTTTCAAATCGAGTAGGATGCATCTAATTAGACACCTTCCTCCTACCCACCCCCCACCCCCAACTTAATGGAAATTTGTTACTCCTGTGCTGGCAGATTTACCCACGCCTAAAAGGAATATGAACATCTTGTTCTTACTCCACTATCAGTTCTCTTTTGGTTTTGGCTGGTGTCTTACCCTTTGACACTAGAGGGCAAGCTGTCACCAGACCTGTCAGAGGGAACGCCCTGGGGAAGGCCATTCTCGATCAGTGGTAGGTTTTTATCATGAATTACCATGGTAAATCTACTGTCTACACGTACAAAGTGCTAATCTCATGTTTTCATTGGCATCTTGGGTTTTTTCATACAGTGTAGACTGTCCTAAGGACTGTCATCTATAGGGCAGTTGCGGTGTTCTGTGATACATAAGAATTATAGCGTTACCTAATCTTTTAATGGAGTTTGTACCTGCTCTTCTACAGACTAACTACACTGTTCCTGTAGAAAGGAGTATGCAAGGCACCGTTCGTTGTAAAGCATGTGTAACCTGGTCCTATTTTAGGTATCTGCAGTAAGAACTGAGGATCTCAAGGTCTGTACAGAGGATTTGCACAAAGTACTCTCTGAAGTCCAGGAAATGAGAGAGCAGCAGAACAACATGGATGTCAGACTGGCTAACATGAAGAGGTAGACTCCATCTGTTTCAGAGGCACTTATACATTGAATGTTGCTTATCTAATGGAGCTTGACTCTAAATGTGGGTTTCATTTGAACTGGAAACAGGTGAAGCTATTTTTTTTTTTTTCCCCTAAGAATCCCCATTCCACCCCACACAACATTCTGAATCGTGTTTGTTTTTATAATTCAGTTACAGACCAGAGATTAAGACTGGGAGGTTGTTGACTATCTTGAGATTTCATTTTGGTTGCCATCACCTGTAGTAGTTTTTTAGGGCAATCAAAGCATTTCCTTTTCTAAACACAAAACAGGGTTAGATGCAGTGAGGGAGAATTAGTCTTTGGTATTGTTTCTAATTGGAAGTGGACTTTGCACGTCCTCATCTCTATTCCCTCAGATCCTTTTTGTATAGGCACTATTAATTCATTCAGATCACTGGTATGCAAGCAGGTATCAACCGAAGTTCAGGAGATACCTTCACTCCGCTCCTTCTGTTCCTTTAAAAAACAAACAAAACCTCAAACACAAACTTTGAAACTGTTCTGAGGTGGTCTGTGTTACACTCAGCCTGTTTCCAAACACCGAGTCTTTATTCTAAGGCTTTGAGGCTTTGAAGGAATACCTCAGATCAAGATTATTGGTGGAGCAGCAGAGGATGAGAATGTCCTTATGAGTGAGTGTTTGCTCCTGCCTGATGGAAAGTGGAGTTAATTTAACCCAGAGTTTATACTAGTGGATCAGATTAACTGATTGTTAGTTATCCACAGAAGGAATGTTGCCATTGGTCCTGCAAGGTACTGTGAAAGTTTGAAAGTGGTAAAACTAAAGCGTATAAAGTAAACTCTGTTCATCCTCTGTCTTCTGATTTATTCTGCATTGCAGAGAAAATAAGGCCCTGTGGAAAGAAGTGGCAGTTCTAAGGCAGAAGCACAGTCAACAACAGAAGCTGCTGTCTAAGGTACCATTGCAGCATCTTCAGTGCTACCATCCTTATTCCTGCCTCTGTGATACCTGATGGCATTCTTTGCTTATGTAGAATGACAAATGACACAGAGCTGAACAGGCTATATTAATACAGCATAAAGAAAATGTTCACAGTTCCTGAGTGTCCCAGAAGTAGCACAGCAAAGAACCACGAGCAAAATACTAAGGAAAAGTCATAGTAAAAAGGATTTCAATGTGTTTGAAATCTCAGTTAATCTTATTTGGAGAGAAATCAGTAAATCAAGCTGACCTGGGGTAAATGTGGGGCTGGAGGCAGTGCATGGTAACAGGAGCCTAAAACAAGAGATTGCAGGCACATGGAATGGAGTCTGTGAAAGATCTTGGACCAAGACAGACTTAGACTACTCAAGAAGTCAACTTGGAACCCAGAAACTATTTGTTCCAGTGCAGAAGCTCCTATTTTCTCTGGTTTATCCCTCAGCTGTTTCTGGTCTGGAATCCTCTAGTGACTTGTGGTGTTATACTACATTTGAAAAAAACAAAACAAAACTGTCCAAGTGGGATAATTTTTCAATGCCATTTCTAACTATCATTTTGTTTTTTAAGACATGAACACAAATGGATTTTTGATTTACCTATTAATTTCAATCATATAACTACATAATTTTGTAGTAAAATCCGAATTAATGATTTAGTGTTAGGATTGTTATGCTGACCACTTGTTTTTGGTTTTTTGTTTTTCCTTTTTAGATTCTTCAATTTATACTAAGTTTGATGCGAGGAAATTATATTGTTGGGGTCAAAAGAAAAAGGTAATTACTGGATAGGTCACAAATCAGTGTCAGATGTGAATTATAGGGATAAATCAGCTTCTAGAAGCAAGATACTTTTCTTAAAGTGTATGAAGAATATTTTTATCACTTGTATATTAAACTTGAGAAAGCTGATGGAAGTTAAATAAAGCATGAAATAAAGATTTCCTCTTCTTTATCACTAAAAAAATGGGTGGGAAGAGAATATACTACACATTTTAAATTTCGAAGGGCGCAGTTATCAGAAATGGTAACTCTTTCAAAATGTGCAAATGTGACTGACTTATTCAAAACAAAAAGCATGTTTAGAATGCAACCTGTCTGCAGTACACTTAGTAAAAAACATTTCCAAAAGCCAGTTTTCTTAGAAGTGGAAGAATGATTGTTCTTACCATTGCTGCACGTATTTGGCGTTGCTACAGCTTTTTACTGCCGAACTATATACTAAAGCCATATTTTGTCTCAGGTCTCTAACGGATGCTGCAGGTGCTTCACCCTCCAAATACAGTCGTCAGTATGTTCGCATACCTGTGGAGAGTGGCCAAGCAGTAAGTCTTCCCAGGGAAAGAGACAATGGGTTGGACAGGATGATATACAGTGATCTTGAAGTCTTCCTTATAACTATTAATACCCTAATCTTATAATCAAGTGCACTCCATTTTGAAATGGGCAGCTTTAAAGCATTGCTCTGTCTGTAAAATCATACAAATCAGTACAACTAGTCAAAGATGAAATCTGAACAGGAGAGAGAAGCTGCAAGAAGAATGGAGCTTCAACATCAAAAAAAGTCAGACTTTTTGGTTTACTCGTTCTATTTGCTGTATCCTGCAGATGGCTTTTTCTGAACATAATGCAGATGGCGAGGATGGGAATGGTACAGGTCTCATCATTCGAGATATCACTGATACCCTGGAAAATGCCACCGATGGTCTCCTTGCTGTGGCACACACAAGTGGCAGAGCCAGGTACGTTTAAAGGATGTGGAAGTACTTATGCTTAGGTTGTTAACCAGGTAGTTATGTTAGTGTAAGCGATCCATATGAATTCTGGGAAACAGCCTCTCTGAATTTTTACTCTGTTTGTGCATGACAGGCCTGTTTGTAGGCTGTCTTTTTTACAGCATATAGCATTGGTCATGGTCAGCAAAGCTTTTTAAGAGCTCATGTCTCTTCAGGAGTGCCTGAAGGCCTATCAAGCTCCTTGGCACTTGAAGTTTAATTTGCTGAGGCTTTTCTGTCTATTCAATAAATTAGCACGTACTTAACTTTTCAACTGAACAGGGACCTGAATGCATATATAGGTTACTAATAAACAATCCAAAATGTATATAGGTTACTAATAAACAAACCAAGATGTATAGTTTTATCTCCAGTTTCAGTACTACTCTCGCTAATATTGTGCTAAGCATAACTGAAGGGAAGGCATTCTTTTGTGTGGCATCAGATTCTTGTGAAAACCCACGTAGTTGTTAACATCCAGAGTGAAATACGGACCAATTTGGAATCTTTTATTTCCAGAGACACAATGTTAGGAGTTTCCCTCCTGCCTAATTTCCATATACTATTTTGCTGCTTTTGGCCTGGCAAAATGGGGTGTTTTGCTCTGATACATGCTATCTGTATAAGCTGTAATAAGGCACTTTTCTTCTTTTTCTAAAGACCAGTTGGTTGTTTGAAACCTTGACTGGCTTGACCTTATTAGGTATTAAGATTCGAGATACTAAACTTGAAATGAGTAGTAATACAGTTGGTGAATTCTCCTGTGTGTTGTTTCTCTTTGGGTCATATTTTAGAGAGACAGTGGCAGCTCTGGATCCTGGCTTACCAATTTGTCAAGTATCGCAGCCAAATGAGTTAAATTGTGCAGAACCTATCCCACCAGTTCATATAAATGATGTCAACAAATCCAGTGAAATAGGAAATGTTGCTGTGGAACTCCACTCTGCACAACCTAATGCTCCAGAAGACCCCGTGTCAGTGATTGACTCCATCTTGAACGAGAACAACTCTGGAAATCAAAATGATCCTTTACTGGACAGGTATTAACTTGTTTCTGAAACTGTTACGCTGTCGTCATCTTGTGGGATCTTGTCAAAGTTTTAGAGGATGTGTTTAGCAGAACATAGTGAATTAGCTTTTTAAATGTCGTCGATGAACTGAATTTTCTGCCCCTTTGTTAGTAGGTCTTGAAAAAGACAAGTGTTAGCATCACACACTAAAAGCAGGGCAAGTTCATCTGTCACATCTCTGATAATGAGTGTGCCTGACTTCTGATGTGTCAGTGTGGGGATTGGAGAGGTCAGTCTGTCACATCAGCCCTTGTATCGCCAATTCCTGGCACTGCCAAGTGCTGCCAAACAGCAGACCAAGGGTAGTGATTTCAGGAGGGCACCATGTGCTGCCTTGTTTCTGAGAACTGGACATGGATTTGTATCGGTGGTAGCCTGATGTTGTTTCGCTGTTGCTTCCTTTCTTTGCCCCTCATTTTTGCAAAGGTTCATTTCCCTTGTGCATTGTCAGATCAGACTCACCCCTGGAATCAAAATCATGCGGGCTGTGGTTTCACACTTGGCAGCACTGCCGCTTAAGCAGTTCCCAGCCCTGCACTGGCCCCTGAGCTTTATCAGTGCAGTCATTTGTGTGGCTGCAGGGTGAGCTGGATCAAGGAGCAAACTTCAGTTCTTTCTCCTGACAGCTCTTCTGCTGTGGTTAACTTCAGGTAGGAAGTACTGAGATGATGCGTCACAGCACTCAGCGTAATCTGAAGGCCCTGTAATATCTTACTTCATTGGCACTGCAAAATGCGGGGCAATGCCTTGGAACTCTCTGTTGCTTGTAGCTAAGTATTCCAGCACAGGAGGTAGCTTGCAGCACAGTGAGAGGTTCAGTACTGGTGCCGTGCATGCAGCTTCCTTTCCACTTCATTCGCTGTCCCTTGTATCCTGCCCACTGTCCTTGGAAACGTGTACAATTCGGCAACAATCTGATGTTTCAAAATAGGTGGTGTTTCTTCAGAGCCAGATTATTTCCAGCCCTTTGCTTATCATTTATTGTCCCCAGGTGAAAGCCATCGGCCCTTAGTTTAAACAGATATTGGTATATAGGGTGGGATCTGGGAACGTTCAAAAGATATGAAAATGAAAGAGGAAGCGGGTATGGAAGGAGGAACTGCTTTTTTGTATGATAGCTATTATTATACTTGCTGTTCAGATAGTCCTCCTTGTACCTGCCCTTCAAAGAGTTGGACCGTGAAAAGTGATTCAGGAATGCGGTTTCATTCATTTGGCAACAAGATATTCTGGATTGTGAGCAGCCTAGTCTGGCTCTCATCTTGCCCCACAGCTGTAATAACTGAGAGGTTAGCAGATCATTTCTAAGAGTTTTTCCTGCCTTGTGGTGCAAAAGAAGGCCCTAACTGCCGACCGTTTCTTACAGTACTATATCACTTTGTCTTTTTAGAGAAGAAATTCAGGATTTTCTTAATTGCATTGATGCCAGCCTTGAAGAGCTTCAAGCAATGTTATCTGGGAAGCAGTATAACTTTGGTTCTGAAGCTTTCAGCGATGTGAGTGTCTTTTCACTTTTTCTGGTTTCTGAAAAATACTGATTAGGTTGCATTGTGAAATTTTAGTGGTTTATTCCGTGTTGTAATGGGCAAGAGGGGGGACAATCCTGAAAAGCAAATAGTTATGGATAGAATGATACATAGTCATTCCAGGAGTCTAGCAATGTACAAGGTAACATTGAGAGCCTTTTTCACTTCATATAGTATTTCTGTTATACATAACTCAAGGGAGAAAAAAAAAAAAAAAAGGAAAAAATTGGACTCTCTTCCTTCTCAAGCCTTTGTCACATATCATCACATCCTGATTATGTGTTTGATTATACATTATGATATGGAATGAAACTCAGCCACATACCTGGAATCGCTGGGAAATACCGCGTCCTTTTCTTCTCCTGTGATCTCGGTTTACCGCCACAGGTTGAAAGTACATTGCTGTAGGCCTGTGGAGGAGCCACCTTCCCTGTGCTTCAGTGGATGGAGTGGTGTGCTGGACCCTGCTGTCCTTTCAGGAGCTCTCTGAAGTTTTGTCTTAAGAACGTTATTATGTGACACATGGTCTGTTTTTATTTTCAGACATTTAATCCTGAGCTGCCAGCCCTGGACATGAGCTTGATGGAAACTTCCCCTGGTATGGAAAATGTAAGAGTATGAGTTGCTTCTATGATGGGGAGGGTTAATACGATGTTGAGAGATAAATTTTGACTGATGCAGTTTGGGAGTAGGGGCTGGGTTGATAGCACAAGATGAAACTGTCATTTTATGTAGTCCTGCTGACCTAATGTTTTCAGTTATCGCTGTCGGCATATATGAATTTAAGAGGGTTCTCAAGATAATTTCAAGTCTTACATTCCTAGCTGCAGTAATACACTCAGTGGGCTGATTTAAACTGTCACTTTGCTTTGAATAACATGTTCTTTGCTTTCTGAATACACCTGAGAACATAAGGAAGAGGGAAACAAACTGGGGTCTGTTGAATCAGCTGTCTGTATTGAGGAATTTTTTTTCCTATCTATTACTTCTGTACCTTCTGTTTAGAATGAGGAGGGTAGAAAATCTTGTCTTTTTTTGGTCTAAGTGTGTGAGAACAGTTTCTTGGCTTGTTTCTCCTAGCCTCAGGGAGTCCCATGATGTCTTTTAGCCAAGTACTAACTAGGTCTGGGGTTATAGTTCAGATGAGAATGTGTCTTCAGTCTGTCTGAAGACTGAAGGAAAAGTACTAAATGAAAAATATCATGTAATATACTGTATTTATTCTGAACGTGGCTGTATGGAATTTCCTTAGAGGACATACAAAAGTTCAGTGAGAATTTAGTTCTCTTGGTCCAGTTCCTAAAATTGACTCATGTAAACAAACAAACAAACAAACAAAAAAACCCCACCAAACCTTGCAAGTGTCATTTATTTTGTAGTCCTGAAATAATATTTAAACTAGGACTTCCCAGTCATAAGAGCTTAGACCACAACTGAGGTAAAATGCAGCTGTGTTCAAGCAGTGCTTGCACAATTTAATTGTATTGATGAAATCATGTTTAACGGTGTTAGTCCAACAAGACAGACTATAATAAAGCTTGTGGTTTGGAAGGTAAAATAAATATTTGCTAGTCAGAAGCTTGTTTGGCTTTAGTAAGTTAAGTTTGTCTGTATTTCACCATGCCTTCTTCTGAGAGCTCCTGTTTGCTGGCCCTCATGTGCAACAGCGGGCTCATTGGTCAACTGTTTCATTTCTCTTCTCTCCTCCTTTCACCTTTAATTTTGTTAACCAGTCAGTGAAGACTTGGATTTTGTTGTTGTTAAGCATTCTGTCTTATTCTCTGTCCATTTTGCTTCAGATTGCAAACTTGGCAGAGAGCACTGAAGATCTGGGAGCGAGTGAGAGAGAAACAGCAGGAAGCAAAGGTGGGCAGGAAGGAACACTGAGAGCTGTGACCATTCCAAACTCTTCCAAAACTGTGTGTTGAAGTGGAATTTTTGTAGCCTGTAATATGGTTTATCTCCTTCTTTGGTCTGGGCTTAAAGTTTTTGTGAAGGCTGGAATGTTTCACTGATCTTGATGAAGCTGTGCCTCAATCTTATTAAGAGGCCCCATCCTATGCCCCATGTTGGTGTTAACCGTTTCCTTTTTCTTATACGTGACAGCGTCACAACAGGGAGCAGAACTGCAAATGTCACTGTGGAAGTATCTCGTATAGGGGCTACAACCCCCCACATGAGGAGTGCTACTCATTTTACTGCTTCAGTGCTGCCATTGCATGCCATATGTATTAGGGGCTTGAAGTGTGCTTCAGATATCGATCTTAACAGACACAGGAGCTTTTGCTCCCCTCTTGCAGCTGTGGATGTAGTCTGTCAGAGCTCAGCTGTATGGTTTTCTTTAGTGAACCAAGTTTTGAAGCAGCCTCTCCGATCTTCCTTGTCTTGAATAAGAGCCTTCACTTATGTGACACGGAGGCCTGGAGTTTAAACTGTTTGTTTTCCCTCAGATATGCAGGTGATACAGTACAGGGCCAATCCTCTGCTTTCATTATTTGAAGAACTACCTTCAAGTGAAGCTGCAGGGAAGATAGAGGATCCGAAAGACCTTCTACTGCCCCCCCTGGAGGAGAAACCTGCTCTTCATCCTCCGTCAGGTAGTGAAACTGTCTTGCAGCCAGCAGCTCCAGCAAGCCAGGCTGAGCCTCTGGATGCTCCGGGAATGGGTGATCCACCTCTCCTCTCGGAAGATGGGAATGGAGAGTATAAACTGTTTCCACTCTTACTCCTCAGTCCTGTTGCTAACTTCATAGAAGAGGCCTCTGAGATAGAAACTTCTTGAACTCGCATAACACCTGTAACTAGCTTACTGATGTGAAATAGACCACAAAGAAATGGATCAGCAAGAATTTTGACCTCTCTCCTCACCTGCTTCCTGGGTGTCATATTCTGTATAGACAAAAGAAAGTTCTCTTTCCACAAGCAAAGAGCACATCTGGAAAAACTGAAAACAAGCTCAAAACAAGAGCTGGTGGGTGTGAAGGCACTGGGCAGAGGGGGAAGAACAGCCTCCCTGTAAACATACCGCAATGTATTCCGTAACTTTTTATCTGATATCCTTATTGCAAAAGGAAATCTGTTTGTATCCTGTTTGTAAAGTTTGGCTGGGAATTTTTGTTGTTTGTTGGGTTTTTGTGTGGGTTGGTTTTTTTTTTTTAATTAGCTGGATAGTAATGTGGTGTGTAATATTTTAAACATGGGTTTTACTCTTTCTGAGAGCCTGTTTCAACAGGTGACTTGTCTACTGTTTGGAATTAAGATTTTTTTAAATTTTGTTTTTAATTTGAGATTTCGTTTTTGATAGTTTGTGACTAGAATTGTTTGCATCTGCTTAGATCACTTTAGTACTCCTAGATTTGCTCCTAGGTACAGGGAACATTTTTCCTATGGAAAATTATATTTTAACTGTGGAATATTACTTTTTAACATGCTAACACACATCCATTGCCATGGATTGTAGGTGTTGTGGTAGGAAGTGCTTGCCACCCTGCATAATGCTGATTTCTCATGCACATTGCATGGCAGTTCTTCTAGGGTAACTTGCACCTAGCTCACAGGTTATGTGTCCTCAGAAATTTTGAGTAGAACTGATTCACGTCTAGCAAAGTCCAGCAGCTGCCCTTAAAATGGGGGGGGGGGAAGAGTCATGGGGTAACTTGCATTGACATAGACATTACATTAAGATTTCTCTTCTGCTTGCAGCAGCTGCTTGTTTACCTGACCCTATATGAACACTGGACTTCTTCCTGCCTTTTCTGCTTGTGCAATCTTAAAGCTAAATTAACTAGATGCATTTGAGTTCTTTGACAGCAAATTACAAAAACTAGTGTCTGCTTAATCAAAAAATCTTTCCCCAAAATTCCTTTCTACACTGTTTTCCTAACTTCTTTAAGCAGCTGTAATGTAGACATCAGCCCTTGGTGCCAGTGGAATAGCAAGTTCTCCTTCACTGATACCAAGTTTGTAACAGTCTATCACTAGCCCACACAAACCTGAAGTTTGCTGTAGTGATACAAAACAGTTAGGGATAGAAGAGGCTTGGAGGCAGGTAGAAAACCCGTTGTATAATATCACATGATATTTCCTACCAGCGCAATTACTTGCAAATTTTTTCAGGTTTAGGAATTCAGGCTACCCACAGGCTTTGTTCTCTCTGAAGGTTCTGAACTAATAAGTTTTGAGATCTTTTATATTCAAGAATCCAAGTTAATCTGATATTCTAAAGCCTACTAGATAATGCACGTTATCTATGCTGGCCTTGCTTAATTGGATTTGTGCTTCATTGTCAAATCTTTTGAGTTGCAGAGGAGGATCTTGCTACTGAGTGTGTGTATATGTGTAATGCCTTCACAGTGTCATTTTATTCCCATGCTTCTGTAACTGTTCTTTACCTCATGACCCTTCATGTTTGTATCTTTTGAATTGCCTTTTGTCAAGTATGTCTTATTCTAGCCTTTTCTAGTCTTTCTTTTGCTTACTTCTTGAGACAAAGGGCTGAATAGTCTCAAGTTTTCACGAGCTAAAGGGAGAGGGGGAAATCAGTGAATTGCATCTCTGTCTTGGGTTCTGCTTTTTTTTTTCTGCCTCAATTTTCTCCTGTGCTGTTTTGACAGCACAGTGCAGACAGAGAAGTTCTTTGAGAGGCTGATCTTCTGTAACTCTGACTTCCCGAACAGCTTAGACTGAAGTGTAGTTCCTGTTATGGATTACTGTCATGTTCTTCCATCATGGAGTCCTCTGATCTCAGTGCATCTCACCATCAGATATTGGATCTGATTGCATAATAGTATAATAGTTTTTTAATACACTTTCTCTCTTAAGAAGTTAGAAACCAAGGCTTAAGAAAACTGCAAATAAAAACTTGTGCATCTGTGTCTGGTTTATGTACTGATCTACAAAAAGTGTTTGTTTATGCAAGTTTCCTAAGAAAGATTGCAATGGAAAGGGGAAGGCTGAATAGCAAGAAAAAGCCACATGCTGAAGTAATTAAACTCAAGAATTGCAAAACCATTACTGTGTTTCTTACACATTCTTTGTGTTCCTGTGTGTGCCAATAATTCCCAAACCTGTTTACTGAATTTTCTAGAAAGGAGAGCTTTAATGCTCTCCAGGGGATCTCATGCAGCTGCTGCTGGTTCAAAAATAGCTGAAATGCTGGCACCTGTTTTCAGAGCTGTCAGCCTGAGAAAGAAGGAAGTGTAGGTTTATTATTAACCCATATTCCATACCATGGAATCAAAGCTTGTGGGAATGGGACTGACCACCACTGACAGTGTAGGGCCAGGTTGGCTTTGGGCATTTATTCATTGCCTATATGAGGGTAGCTTGCTGGGAGCCAGCCTTCGCATCTCTAAGCAGCTGAGGGGACCTGATGTTGGTTTTATCATAGGTGGTGATGTGAAAGCTCAAAATACTGTGTTGGGTGCTAGTGAGAAATGGACCTGAGGTGGAAAGGTCCCCAGTTGACAACCGAAAGTCGTGATGGATTGCGTGCTATAAAATGGCAACTTCAGGAACCTGTTGTACAAACAGGTGCTGTTGTAAAGATCACCACCATGCACCAAGCTCAGCAAAACAAATGCTACTGCTGTTTCAAAGGGGCAGGTATCCTTGAATCCACTTATATTATTCACAGGAGCAGAGGTATCCTCTGAGTAATGTGAGAGGTCTATGTAAACACAAATCAACTGAAGTGAATCCATGGGAAGTGAAAGGGAGAGTAAGATGAAAGACAGGACAAAAACGATTACGACAAAGTTAATGGATGCCCCTCAGCTGCACTGCCAAGGTGCAGGAACCATCTGTCTCCTCTAATAATCTGGAGCAGTCAATGGGGATCTGTGCGAAAGTCCTGGAGGATGAAATGGCATTAAGTCGGTAAGAGTCCAGCAGTTTTTGGGATACTCAGTTCCTCTGTTACCTGTTGAAAAAAAGATTAACAAAAGCTTTTCATTAGTAGTTATCTTTGTTCCCAGATCTAGAGTATTTTCATTCATAGGAGTACTCAATATATTCACTCACCTTCCCCCCCCCCATTTCTCCATCTCCCCCTATCTTCTCTATAATAAACAGACAAACTTTACATTTTAGCTTAAATCAGCAGTTGGTATATTTATGCAAAGATGCCATCTTCTCTTTCCTTTCCTTTAAAAGGAAGGTGTTAGCACCTTAAGATCATGTATTGTACAGGGTTAACTTAGATTCACTGGACTACAGCTGTTGAGGTTGGTTATCAGACAGGTCTGAGTATCTTCTAATACTTATCTATGCCTTCTTCCTTTAATGTTACTTCTATTCTGATTTTTAGATACATTCTGTTACTTATGTGTTTGTTTAAAAAAGAAAAAACATTACTGAAACCAACAATTTATTCTAGAGCCATTGCCGTAGTTTCTCTCATTTTTTTGCCAGTAAGTTTCAACCATGGTCTGCAATTCTCCCTGGGTGTAATCTGACACAGAGACAGTGTGAAAGGTTGTCCAGGGTCCCTGTTGCTTGTTCATAACTCGTGGCCCCACACTGCAGAATCCCAGCCTGAGCCTTGTACCAGCTGCTACAACGGCAGCTGCCCCCCCCGGCTGGCATGGCGGCTCTTGGCTCTTTCATCAGTTCTTCTTGTTGCTGGGGTACCCACGCCGCCTCTTCCTGTATCTATCTCAGTCTTTTGTAACTCTCCGCCTGGTCAAAACTTTCCAGCGCTCTTTGGAAAGCGTGTTAATAACAACCAACTATGATGTAAATTCTGCTAGGTTTTTTTACCATCCTTTCCTTTTCCTTTCCTTTCCCTTTTGGAGACAAGTTAATATTTCAGCTGGGTTGGGACACCCAGATTACACTTTCCCTGTTTGCCAACTCACAGGGCGGTCACTGAGCCCAAAGACTGCGCAAGTGCCGCTGCGCCTGCGTGCGGGGCCAGCCGGGCACCCGCCCTGTCCTTGCCTCACTATCCTTTCCCAAAAAGCCACTTCTCACCAGGGCTCTGCCAGCTACACCAGATATAGTACACCAGTGCAAGTGTTCTTTATAGACTCCAGTAAGAAAGGCCCTCAGCTCCCTAAGGTATTGATTAAAACAACGTTTACTGGAGATAACATGAGAAGGAAACAGGGAACAGCATAGATAATCTTAGCATCAGGCAGACCTCTGATCCGGGCATGGCAAACTGTGCAGAGCCCGTGCCGAGGTTAACCGGCACTGTGGGCTTTACAGTTTTTTGTAGGATTTTCCTAGAAATAAAGAACTCTATTCATCATTTCCACTGCCAAGAAAGAGGATGTTTACATGAAAACGTGCTGCTCCACTTCACAATAAGGACAAGGACATGGCAGTGGCGTTGTCGCTGGGAGCCATGGACAGACTCCTCCGTGGTGATGAGCTGGCCAAGTCCGCCCGCAGCCAAGTGATACCCGCAGCACAGCACAGGCCCGAAGGCCCAACGGTGTGTGCAGCACAGCAGGCCAGGTGGCAGCAGATCACTAACCCCTTGATGTACAGCAGCCTGCTGGTAAGGACTACTATGACACTGCAACTTGATGCATAACAAGTTTATGTTACCTGTGATCACAGTTTCTTCACTGTAATGCAAGTTTCCTTCCTCCTCCAGCATCAATACACACGGCTGCTTCTTTTACTTCTTGGTTGTAGTGTCCTGTATCTGGGGAAGGAAAGGTTGCACAGTGTGAGAAATTGAGAAAGTGAAAAGTGCCCCTCACGTGCTACTTTCATAATTATTTTTCATACTGTTCCAGACTAGCCCTCCCCACACAGACCATGTCAGCCTAGCCATCAATTTTTTATCTCGTATTGCCGTGTGCTTGCTAACACAGAGTTTTCCAGAATACGAGAAAAACTTATTTTAATCTCTCTCTCCTGGCCTGTGTGATGCCACCTCATCCAGTCCATGCTCAAAATGTTTTGCTGGCTCCTAAAACAAGGTTGCTGTTTTGAAAAGTAGTACCCATGTTATCATAGTTCCCCAAAGCAGAAGCAAGAGATTTCTGCCAAGGGTCATCTTAGCATATAGGTGTCTGTACTTGAATCATATAAAGGACACTCCTGCCACTGTCCCCCCAACCAGAAAGGTAAATGTAACTATAAATATATAAATAAATATATGAATATATAAATATATACACATCTTTTTTTTGTCAAGCAGTTTGAGTTTCAGTTTCCTGGTTGGTGTGTACCCTGGTAGTGGTAGGTTCCCTTATGACTTAGTCTGAGTCATTTTAGGCTTCCGCCCTCCTGTCCAGGCAGCCATGTTCCCCAGGAAGTAGTGTCACTAATTTGAACTTAACATGTTCTTTTCTCTTCCTTTTTTGAACCAAGAAGTATGTGAACACTGCAACCCATACAAGCTTTTCCTGCTTCTCGCCATCCCAGTGACTGCAGATTGGAGTTGCATCTCATGGAAAATTTCTGACGGGGGAATACAGGGCTACAAGAGAGGAGCAGGTGAAATCAGGTCCCAAAATCTCTTGAATCTCTGCTGAACCTTTTTCTCAGCTTTATGGAGTAGGATATTTTCAGAAGCATTTAGACCTTAAGCTGGTTAGATGTCCTCTTTAATTACAGGTATAACTGCAAATAGAGTAGATGGTAAGAAATTAATTGAACAGATGATTCTCTAGGCTGAGACTGATAAACAACCACAAGGGTACAGAGATTTTCTAACCAAATAAAGGCATGAAAATTGTGTGTAGTAAAATCACGAGCTTCAGGGAAACAGAGGTCAGAATGTTATAACCTGAAAAGAACCAAATTCAAACTCATGCCAATAATGTTATCATAATTAGATCAATGTTAATAACAAGTAGTAAAAAACCCCACACACTTCTACATGCATATATGCTTTTAAGCACCATTGTTTTGCAGAATGAACTATCAATGACTGTAAAATAAGAATATATGTAAAAGCAAGCAATTACAGTGAAAGCAAAGACCTCGAAAGAAAAGGAACAAGATAATATCAGAGCTCCCAGGGCTGTGTACACATCTCCTGTTTTTAATGTTAAATTACGTAACATCCTAATGAAGCTGCCTACAAATGACAATGTAGGTGGAGCCACCTTTAAGCCATATATAAGACTATAAGAAATATTTTTTTTTTCCCCAACATTGCCACTACTTCAGAATCAGGTATGCAGCATTGATTGCTCTGGTATGCTGTACTGTGCTTCTACAGATGCAAACATTGTTTCATATCATTAAAAGAGGGTTGTACTTTAGAATATGGTCTAGGATTTTGTTGACTGCGTTTAATTATTCTGGTTACTTGCATTTGAGGACTGGATGTTGAATTTGGATGTAACAATAGCAAAGTGTTCATATCGATTTAGCTGAATACAATGAAGCAGAAGAGATTTCTGTCATTAGGGTGTAAGAAAAATTAAGAGCTGCAGAAGACAGAAAAAGACATGCAAAAATCTCTTGAAGATAATGTTTCAGTAGAGAACAGATACTTCTCCTAGATGGGTCTAGTGGTCAATTACTTAATAATACAGATTAACTATAACTAATATTACCTTTAATTAATAATAACACATCTCATTACAGTTAAGAAGTCATGATTTCATAGTCTCAAAGATTTTCTACCTTGATAAGTTCCTTTTTTTTCTCTCTAGGCATATAATTGTTTACCTGTTTCCAAAGTAGTCTACAGGGAAATGCAGGTGCATATGGCCCTAATCCATGTTTTTAATTGAAAGCAATTAATCAATTCAGCCAAGCAGCTAAATTGCTATGTAAGAAAGGGGATCAATCTGTGGTATAGAGTGAGATGGTCAAACCAGGTGCCTGCAGCTCTTGGAAAATATTTGTTTTCAGATTTGTATACCTAAACTCTCCACCTCTTAAATGGGATATAATGATATAGAATAGAATATTTCAGTTGGAGGGGACTTACAATGATCATCTGTCTCACACTGGTAATGTAAAGATTTAGCATGTTTCATGAATCTTAATTTAAAATACAGTGGTGAGCTCCATAGAAAAGCTGGTAAGAAACTGAATAGTACAGACCTTGGTTGTTTAGCTCTTTAAGAGTACTCTCTCAGATCTTCTTGTATGTAACATGCATGTTAAAACTTATTATTTAGAAAGCAATGCAAGGAGTAAGAGGAAGAAATATGTGTTGAATAAACACATATTTTCTTAATAAAAAGAAACAAAGGAAATGTTTTTTAAAAGTTGAATTAAAATACAGAAGGGGAAAAAAGCATACTCAGCAGGAAATATGAAATAGAGTAGAAGTAACTCTTAAACTTTCCTCTTTTCACCCTCACTTAGGACTTCGGTTCTGCCCACACCTCTGGTAGTCATCATTGAGACACTTTTTTTCTGAAAAAGAGGAAGGAAAAATCAGCAGCAGCTGCCCTGAGTTCTCCATGACAAAGTAAGCGAAGAAAGGGAAGCGTTCCTGATTTACCCCCTGACTTGGAGAGACCAGGTCCGTTCTACTCGAGAGGGAGAAGCTGCAGCCCTGGGAAGGATGGGAATGCTGCTGAGAGCAGCCATGCTTATGAGTCCTCTTCTCTTCTGCAATGGTGAGTCTACGGAAAGGTCTCCAGCTTGGGGCAGTTCCTTCCCTGGCACTGGTGTGTCTGCGTGTGTTTGTACAGAGGTGGTTCTATTTCGGGAATAGAAATATGGCAATAAGGCCAATGTCTTTGCATGCTGCTGCCTCGGTGTTCAGTTGTTTCAAATCCAGCGGCTGTGGAGTGCAACGGTGCATGAAGGTTATAGAAACGCTGCCCACGTACTTAGAGTACAAAGATCCCATATACATTGTGACGGTTATTTCACGGAGCACAGCAAGCAGCCCAGCACGAAGGGTCTGGTTAGTTCTTGTGTTCCCAGGAAGGGGGAGGTTTGGAAACCAGGCGAAAAGGGTAAAGAAGTGTCTATGGAAGCATAGGTTTAGCCCTAGGAGTGACAAAAACGTACTGGGACAAAGGCAACGGACCTCATTTTTATAGGAAAATTTAGAGAGTTTTAGACTTCTTTGATCTGTTGCTTAAATTCAGATTAGTCTGAAAAAGCAGTGTCTTTCAGAAGAGCAAACGGGCAGCAAAGGAGAGAAAACCATAAAAACTGTGCTTTGCTGTTAACGTGTGGTGCTTTCCAGGAAAGCCCTGAGAGTGACATTGGGTGGCGGGGGCAGACGCCAGCTGTGACCAGAGAGCTGTGCAACTCAGGCTCAGGACAAACTCCTTCTTTGAGGTCTAAGTCATCCTAATTCTGGTCCTATGCTCTGTCTGGTGTTCACCTGCTTGCAGGTAAGCACCAGGCAGAGCATAAGAGCCAAACTGCACACGTGGCACGCATCAGTGCCCCTGGCAATCAGCTGTCTCCCATCTGTCTTCCTCCTGCCACATTGCTTTTTTGTTAGCCCATCCTTGAACAGACCATCCCTCATCATCTACACTGACTGCCCATGCTTTTGACTTGGTGGATTCCACTTGCTGATGCTCTCACCACTGCTTCATCACCCAGGAGCTGCCTTCACCATGATTGCTTTTTTTTAATTTTCTTTCTCCATTGTTTCTGCAGCTTTTCTGGACCTGATTGGCCCCAATGAGATCAACGGCGTATGGAAGGGATCTACCACCTTGCCATGTGCCTATGTGCCTGTGAAGGACTTTGTGCAGCAAATGCTCATGTGGTCTGTGGTACATGACCAGAGCTCTGGCACTGTATTTCGGAGGGATAGCTCTGGCGACCACGTCCTCCGGTCCGAGTACAGGGACAGGGTCAGCGTCCTGAAGGACACCCCAGGGAACGTGTCTCTCCACATCCTGAACCTGGAGGTCTCTGACAGGGGAACCTACACTTGCCATGTCACCTGGAGAGCCAGCAACAACAGCCTGATAGCAAAAGAGATCACCATTAAAGTGGAAGTTGTTAAAGGTAAACCCAAGAAGGAAGCTGCGCAGGAGTAGAAGGCTTGGCTCAGGAAGGCTTTTAGGAATTGAATAGACCAGATAGGCAGTGACCACCCACTTCCGATGCAGGAGCGTTTTGCTGACCGGTGTCAGTCTCTGGCGAGAAGCGGCAAATAGGTTGGAAAGAGGAATTCTGCCCACAATACTGCGCCCTGCAGTTCGGGGGCTGAGGGAAGACTTGTGGCCTCTCGCTTACCAATTTGTCTCTGGCTCTACCTGTATCTGATGGCTCAATGTTTCCAAGGGACACGCACCAGAGGGGAAGTCCCTGGGATATTGCATTGCTTTTCTTTGACAAACTTCATCAGCATGTGCCCAGGCACTCCCTTTGCCTGGGCAGCGGTGATTTATAGAGGAACAGGGATGGCATCAACCCAGCAGAGCAGGCCTTTGTGTAGGAGGTGCAATGGGTGGCATAGCTGGTACAGGCACAGCTAAGCCAAGCTTAACCTGTGCAAGAGAGGTGGCATGAGAGTGGTGCCCCTCTTCTTCCTGGGAAAGCACTGAAAGCCAGAGCGTGAACTGCTGTGGAGGGGGGGGAGGAACCTTCCCCACTTCAGCCAGGGCCAGCATGACCTGGGCCCCATCCTTTGTCTCTTCCAGTTGCAGTGACCAAGCCCGTCATCAGGGCCGGCGAGCTGGGGCTGACAGTCCCGGCAGGAGCCAGGACCAGCCTGACCTGTGTGGCCAGCGGGTCCCCCCCCATCAGCTACCGCTGGTTCAGGAGCGCCCCGGGAGGGAAAGCCCTGCTCCTGAGCAGCCAGGCCGAGCTGGCGTGGGACAGCCTGCGGCCCTCCGACACCGGGAAGTACTACTGTGAGGCAGAAAACAGGGTCAGGGCCAGGGCTGTACAGCAGAGCGACACCGTTGAGCTGACAGTGAGAGGTGAGTCCCCAGAGCCACAGCCAGATGGAAAACATCTGGAGTCCTTCCGTACCAGAATGGAACAACGTTCCTACTTCCCTTCCCTGAAAGAAGAAAACGCAAAAAGCCTTGGCCTTCTGCACTCTGAAGCACTTCTCGTCACTGTCTCTGGCTTTCTATCCTTTTTTATTTCCTGTATTCAGTTTCCCTCCTCCTCTTTAGAGGAACTGCTCTTTTCTGATGCGAAAGAGTTTTTGTATTTAAAACGCTTATATTTATTCCTCTTTGTCTTTTTTGAAATTCTTGCTGGCTGTGTGATGCTGCCTATCACAGCATGTTACTAAGGCAAAAGCAGAGCAAGCTTAGATGAGGAATCAGGACTTCATTTTGAGTATCAGGAACATGAGTGGTAATTCAGTAGGTGAAAAAATCAAAATGGCCTTTGTTCCTTATGATTTGCTATGTGTTTCAGAAAAACACACTGCACTTCACACACTCTGTGCTCTGATGTATCCAGGCTCCGCAAGAAGATGCGTGATGGATGTCTTGTGGAAGACTCATACTTTCCTTGGCTGGTAACTCAGTCATCAGAGCTGTGAAGTCTGTGATTGCAGAGCCAAGCACAGATACCACACGGTGACCTTTGAAAGAGGCAAAGCCTGCTGAGCTCCCAGTGGAATGAAGGTTATGGCTGAAGCAACGTGTTGTTTTTCACAGCAGTTGCACGTAAGAGTGTACAGCAAGGGAACAGGAATTAATGATGGCTGTGCTTGTTAACGCTGCTAGCACACGGTCCCCTGCCTGTCCTCTGGTGGCTGGTTCTTTGTTGTCTTATCCCGCCAGTGGAGTTCTGTATTGCAGCAGCATCACAAACATGGTCAAACTGCTGTGTGAGTCTCTCTCTTATTCACCTTGCAGATCTGCCCACAACAACAGTGGCCTCTCAGAGGGATGTGGGAACCACAGGGAGGGACCGCCCAACCACAGCTCCGGGTAACAGCAGTTACGGCTGACAGCAAGGACAAGGAGTCAGGGAGGGTTTGACGCAGCACCTAACAGTGGATTTTGTTGCTGGGGAATACAGTCTTGACAATATTATACTTCAGTCCATACGCCTCGGTTTTTAATCCAGATGTTTCTGAACGTAGAACATCCTCCTTTCCTCAATCTCCAGCCTGCAGAGGGCTTTTAGCTTGCTCTTAGGGAGGTTGTGTCTCTGTATGAGAGACTCTGTATGTCTCAGGCCTGCTAGAAATACCATTTCCTAATTTGTAGACCATATAGGATGTTCTGGGTTCTGTCCTTTTTTGAAGGGCTTTTTTTCTTGTTTTCTGGTCTTGAATGAAAGCCACTGAAGTGGGAGGCAGAGCTAATATCTCTGGTGGCAGATACAAGTGATGCAAAGGCTGCTTCAGACCTGACTGGAAACAGTCTACCTTACTAAGGACAGTTGTTTTGAGGGAGGGCTTGTGATTTCCAGTTTGTTTTTGTGGGATGTGGGAATTCAGACCTGGACTAGAGTAGGTCTGCTTGTGGAAGCTTTGTATTTTGGGGTTCTGTTTCATTTGTATTTATAGTGCTCCACCAACCACACAGCAGGTTATGGGAATTGGCATCAGCGACCAGAAGCTAAGGGAAGATCTTAACAATTGTTCACTATTCTTACAGAAAAAAACCAAACGGAGCTGGTGTTCAGAGGTACCTCAGTAATCCCTTGGACTCCATGGGGCTCTATTACATATACCACTCTTACAGGTATATGTGTATAGACATACATATGTGTGTGTGTATATATAGTTTGTGTATACATAGTATATATATTGTATAGATACTATAGATAGTGTATATATAGTACTACTTTCTAGAGTTTGCCTATTTTCACTGCCTCGCAAAGGTGATGGAGACATTCTCTTCTGGTCCTGCAGCTATAATCCCAGATCTCCTGGTGCTAAAATGAGGATTGGAAATACACAGTGAGCCTTTCATTACTGTTTGTTTTGCAGATCTGCCCATAACAATAGTGACTTCTGAGAATGATGTGGGATATACAGAAAAGAATTATACAACTCGGAGTAAGTGGAAAGCAAAACAAAGCTAAGAACGAGATTAGGGACCCAAACCGGCCACTCAGCAGTCAGTACCTTCAGCCTCAAAATTAGTGTTCTGCCTTTTGGCTGCAAATTGTATTAATGCCTGTTCTTAAGGGACCCAGATGATTCATGGCGACTCTTTAAAAAGACTCTGGATGTTTTTATAAGGAAAAAAAAAAAAAGCTTTCATAGTTGGAGCAGAGTTGTTGCTGTGTTCCCAAACAATAGTCCATTTTGATCTTTTCTTTGAGTGTCAAAGCAGGAACAGCAGAAAAGCCTCAGTGTGCAACTCAAGCAAATCTTCTATACCTCCTCTAGCTTTGCAGTGCTGTGGTAGGCTTAAACACGTTCCAAATACAACTGAACAGTGTCCTTGAATGAAAAGCTGAGACCCTTTATTTCCTGACATGTAGTGCAACTATTCTGCCCAGCTCACAGCCTCAGTCATCCTCAGCATTAAGACACTCTGCCAGCTGTCTTTATGGCCGCAGTCCCTCAGTGAGATGTGTGCGCAGTAGCTGGCTCACACAAACGCACCTATTCAAAGCCACATGAGCAAGGAGCTGTTAGGATGGGGACAAGCAGGGATATACACGTGCAGTACAACCCTGCGTGCCCATGACAGGGCTGGCTGCTGTTGTCCTCAGGGAGGTGGTCAGCATCATGTAGCTGCTGCTGCTATTGTGACCCGGGAGGGCTTCTCTGTTTGAAAGTCTTTTGCTGTATTGCTCTAGATTTCCAGAGGACTCATCTGTCCCTGCACCTGGTCATCCTGATTGCTGCGGTTTGCGGTGCTGTGGTTTTCCTTGTCATCTTTCTTATCATTTGCATTAGAAAGCCCAAAGACGGTGAGTAGAACGTTCTGGAAAACTTGAATGTGTTGTGCATGCCCAGCTTCATTTTACCTTTGAGGGTTTTGAGGGATGGGGCTGGTACTGTGCTCGCAGCTACCGGTAGCAGCTCTGGCACCTGCATCATACAGGCAGTTGATCAAAACGTGCAATGGATCAAAATAGGTGGTGGAAGATCTAAAGAGGTGGAGAAGCCCCTTTTCCTCAGGGAAAACCTGTCGCAGCAGTCGGGAAAGGCCTGCCAGGCGCCGGCCGGAGAGGACGCCCAGCGGGCAGCAATCGTCCCGGTCCTCCCCAGCCGCTCTCC